GGGGCCTCGATCCTCACCTCAGGAAGGTTTAATCCAAGCTCTACTAGAATTTGAGGCTTGATGAGTTCAGAATATTTCTCCGAATCACAATCTGTTAAACTTAGTAAAACTCGTTTATCAATAGTGCTGAGCTCAGGTTGGACACCTGAAGAACAGAGCAATGCAAGCAAAGTAAGCAAGGTAGGCCATCAAAACTGATCCTAGTTTGCTCAAGCGAAGACTTAGCTAGGTTGTCAGGGGCAGACCAATCCCTAGGAACGGGAAAAATGTTTGTCACATCTGCCGGATTGTACTTCCATGGTCCCCCCCACAAAGAAGAAAAACTTTTTCCAGCCCTTATGGGTGCTTGGGAGATCAGAGATGATCATCTTAGTTTTCACTCGTTTGGAGATGTACAAGAAGCCATCAGAAGGGGTATACTTAACATTAAAAAACTTTATAAGCAAAGGAACGAAGGGAATCCCTAGCTCATGCTTGTTAAAGAAAATAACAAGACCCACCAGTATGCCCCAGAAGTTAAGTGACAGCTGAGTAGGACAGACGTTAAAATATTGTAGAACACTCTTGATGAAGGGATGAATTGGAAAACGGAGGCCATTCTTAAAGGTGGCCATGAAAAAGTAGATTTTCTTAGGGACTGGAGAGTCATATTGGGTGTACATATCTGGACACCAGTGTTCTACACCCAGAGGGAAACCAAAGCACGCAGTCAGAACCTTCATATAAGGAGTGATGTCGCTAAAGCCCACGAGCTCTGCCGCTCTGGAGATAGGCCCTGCACCCTCACCACTACCAAAGACCCCTACGCCGCTCACCTTGGCTTTACCTTTGCTAGGATTCTTAGACATTGGGGAGGACAAAGAGAGAGGCTCCTCAACATTTTCCTTGATGTTGACAGAATCGACATTAGGAAAGTTATCAATCTCGTATCCCACATCTCCTAAATCAGTATCCTTTGCTTTGGGATACCTGTCTCCCATGAGGGAAATAGACGAGTTGGTGGCTTTGAAAGAAGCAAACATAACTGGGCAAGAGTAGGGAAGTTTAAAAGATTTATAAAGTGGAGGAATCTCTGAGAAACACTCTCTGAGGGTTAAAGGTTCAAGATACTAGCGACTGATGACAGAGATCCTAGCAATGGAATAAGGGTCCAAAAAGAGGGAATCGATTTCCTGCAAAACCCTAAGGAACACCAGCGAGTTGGGAAAATTGAAATCGCAAGAAGAAAGGTGAAAAGCTAGAGAGAGAATTCAAAGGGTGAAATGAGTCATTTCCCATTAGTGTAGGGACATTTAAAGCCTTCGGTACGTAGGGCTTTAAAATGGAGAATGTGCATGAAAAACGAGGAAGAAAATAATTACTTGTAATCGTTAAGAAACCTGTTCGCATGAATATCAAGGCCACCAGATGGAGGTCTATCTTAGCCAACTTTAGTTCAGCTCTTGCCCAAGTCCACTTGAACCAAGGCCTGGGGGCCACTAATGATACATGGAAAGGATCTTGACTAAATGCGAGCTTGGGAAGTAAGGTTAGATAAGGAGGTCAGATAATGAACCCAGACCTCTAGCTCGCCTCAGAGGAAACATTAAAGAAGATGAAAAAGGAACATCTGGTTAACAGGAGACATTCTCAAAGCAACTAAGGGCGGTAATTAAGGCACAAAACTCTCAACCACCTAAGATCCTCTCCCAAGATCAAGGGAGATCCCGCCAATGAAGGGCTGAGATCCCGCGACAGCTTCTTTAGGAATAACAATTTGGTTATACATATCGAATAGGGCCTCCATTGGAGGGGGGCCTGGGTTGTATGAAAAACGCTCTGTAATTAATACCCGCCATTAATATAGATCGAAGGAGCAAGAGACTCCCTTTGATAGTGGAATAGCCGAGCTGAGCTCGGTGAACCACTATACTTTCACTGTGCAAGTTATCCCAATTCCCCGAGGACCTTTCTATAATCCTCGTGAGCCCTGTAGCTCAGATTCAAATTGCTCATATGATTCGTGTTTTTTGTTCATTCGCCTAATTACACCATCAGGTATATATATTGCAAATTGAATATGAAAGAGATATGAAATCTTTGTTGGAATTATACCCATTAGAAAAGTGCTCTAATACTAGTTTGTTGGAGTCAAGAGGACTAGAAATAAAATAGAAGGAAGTAGAAGAATATGAGCACTCAAAGAATAAAAAAATTTCATTCAAGTTGATTACAAAACACACCCAACTTGGACTCTTCAATTTTTATTCAACTCTACTTACCTCCAGCAGTAGAACATCTACCCTATTTATATAGGTCCAAATCATTACTCCTAGCATTACATTCGTACACCACTACACCCACTAATTCTTGTAAATTTAAAATATTAAGATACTATTACTTGAGAAATTAACACCCACTAATAATATTGTGTTCCACTACTTGCGTATTATTTACCCACTAACATACACCAAATCAACACACCTTAATAATATAATAACTCAAAAATAAGTTTATTTTCCAACACCCCCTTTAAACTTTATTTTGTACTTCCAAGTCCTTATCTTACAAATCACTTTATTATAGAAGGGTTTCATGAAATTATTACAAACTTTATGGACTTGAGCACCACCTCCTTCAATTGCAAAAATATTCAAAGTCATATCTTTTACGGTGTAGGGCTTATGATGAAATTTCTTACACTTGAAAATCATCTTTATTTTGCTAATTTTCCTCTTGGCCCATCATGCATTGACCTTTCTTTTCTCAAACTTCTTGAACCTCTCTTGTGTTAGATCTCTTGGATCAAAAAATTTATCCATATTCACCCAACCTGTTTCACTTAAAACATTTTGTATACCAAGTTGTTAGTATTGATTCATGCAATTTTCAAGGAAGTCATTACCTTGACTCTAGTTTTCAAACATTCGGTCAAGATGATCTTCACTTTCATACTTCATTGAAAAAACATATTTCAAGCCAAGTTCATAGGATTCCATCTCACCATCTTTTACCATGATAAAATCTTTGATTTCATTTTCATTCCTCATAATTTCTTCAGTTTCTTTCACTTTTTTTCAACTTCTTGACAAACTTCTTTTTCTTTCATTTCTTTAGTTGTTTCTTCAATTTCATCATTTTTTTCATCTCTCTAATCTCTTAAACTTCAACATTAACCTTTTCAACTTGTTTCATTTCATCAAGATAATATTCTTCTTGACCCTCCATTAGTGTTTTTTTTCAAAATCACACTCTTCTTTTACATACTATCTTCTTCAAAACATTGAACCCAATACTCCTTGGGGAAAAACTCACCTTCATGTTTGGAGACAATACTCTCAATCAACTTCCATACATGATTTGGAGAACTTGAATTTCCTACAAACTTCCAAATCTCGGGATGAATCTCCTTCTTAAGAACTCTAAGTTCGTTGTTCTTTTTCTTCTCTCGGATTCTTCTAGGTAAGCCACTCTTTGACTTTTCTTGAATCATATCCTATAAATCACATGCTTTGATATAAGAAGGAAAAATAATCTGCATTCTCTTGTAATTATAGAACATCACCTTTTCACACCAAAAACACATATTTGGTGAATCTTCCATGATCGTCATAATTGCGACGATCTATCAAGACTTCAAGGATTGTATTAGTCTAAAAATGAGCTATCTAGACTTTCATGATTGAAAGTTGGTTCAAATGGAGAGTTATCTAGACTTCCAAGATCATGAAGTTGTCTTTGATACCAATTTGTTAGAATTACTCAAATTAGAAAAGCGTTCTAATACCACTTTGTTGGAGTCAAGAGGAATATAAATAAAATAGATGGAAATAGAGGAAGATATGAACACTAAAAGAAAAAATAATTTTCATTCAAGTTGAGTATAATGCACACTCTCCATTTGGACTCTTTATCTTCTACTCAACTCTACTTACCTCTAACACTAAAACATCTACCCTGTTTATATAGGTCCAAACCATTACTCCTAGCATTCCTGTCACACATAAATACACCCACTAACTCTTGTAACTCCTAAAATATTAAAACACCATTACTTAGGGAATTAACACCTTAATGATATTGCCTTCCACTAATTGTACATTTCTTGCCCACTAATATACCAAATTAACACACCTTAATAATATAATAAATTCTAAAACAAGTTTATTTTCCGACACAAACATTATAGATATACGAAATGAAAAATGAAAGCAAAATACAACCAAGAGAATAAGACAGCAGCAAAGGCAAAGATGAGGAAGTCAAATAGAAAAACCCGCATGATGAAAGACGGACCAAGCCCAAGTCAAAGAACACCCACCCCTCCACAGCGCCACACACACAAAACTAGGAGTTTCATTGGACCTCTCTACAACCACATAGTCCAATCAAGTTGCATTGTGAGCTTCTTTGTCCCCTTTCATGGGAAAACATATTTAAGTAAACACATTTTTGTTTATGTCACTTCGATGGACATGGGAACCCTCTGATGGGGAAAGGAAATGAAGAATATTTTGCATTTTTAGAGCAAAATGGCAATTGGAGGACTCTTTAAGTTACAATTTTGTCCCTAGTTACCCTGCAGGATCCCACCTATATCAAAAATATAAACCCACTTGCTGTAACTTTAAATAAATGTACATGACAAAACATATCTTTCAAATCAACCCAACAAACAGAAAAGTTGAGGCTGTGGAGACCCACCTCTAACACTTATATTCATGGTATTAGGATAATTATAATCCAATATCAGCTCAACAAATTAACCTGAAAAATTGAAGGCAGTATATATAGACCCATGTTTTCTTCTCTCTCTCTCTCTCTTAGTATAGAACCATCATCATCCACGTCACTCGTGCTTCTTCCATTCCAACTTGCATGCCAAGGTCTATACTTCCTCAGCATGATCTGTGGCCTCTTTTTTTTTCTTTCTTTAATCTATTTGCCCATTTTATATCCGGCTCTTCTACCTTCATCTTTCTTCTCCTTCACCAGGACTGCAACCACTCTCCACTCTCTCCATGCCAGGAAGGCCATTAGGAGAAGTAAGCATCATGTTACGACCTCTCCGTCTCTCGCTCTCTCTCACACGCGCACACACACACACACACACACACAACATTTCAATACATTGAATGCCATAGTTACTTTTCATGGCTCAATAAAGCTCATATATCTGCTCTTTTAAGGTCATGTGGCCTAGATTGGTAGCTAGTAAGATCCTCAAAAAGACATTGGGCAGCAACAATTTTGCGGCAGATTTTCCAAGCAGCTGCAATACAGAATCTTCTCTAGAAATTCCATGTTTGGATCAAGAATCTATTTCCTCTAAGATCATCTTCAGTGATAATGAGGAGACACGCACCTTCAAGTAAGAAATAGCAAGTTGCCTTTTCCAGACAGCCCATGTCTTGAGCCAGTCTAACCATCATCCATCATGTTATATTTATTGTTTTCTTTTGTTTTCGGATTGTGTAATATATTTTTCCTCATAGGGTTTTTGTTAGTACTTGGAACGTCGGCGGAGTTGTACCAACAAATGAGGTGAATATGGAAGATTTACTCGACACATACAACACTTCTTGCGACATCTATGTTCTTGGGTAATTTCTAATCTCTTAATTTAGTTTTGTTGACAAAAACAAGACTTGCATGATTTTAAAATAAAAAAAAGATTGTAAAAGACCCCCACATATAACAAGATATTAAAAAGATATATTATTAACAAGTACCATCAAATTTAAATTATGGTATATATTTAATGTGATTATATTTTTTGCTCAGGTTTCAAGAAGTTGTGCCATTACGTACAACAAATGTCCTAGGATCTGAGAATCCTAGAATTTCCATGAAATGGAATTCCTTGATAAGAGAAGCTCTAAACAAGAAAACATCCATCCAAGAAAGAAACAAAGAAGGCACATTAAAACAAAAGCAAACTGCCTTCTTTGCCAAAGATGGGAAGTCAACCGAGAGAAGCATTAGAGATCAAGAGTTTTGGTGTATCATTAGCAAGCAAATGGTCGGAATATTGATCTCAGTTTGGGTTCGAAGTTGTCTTCATCCATATATTTGGAACCCTAGTGTCTCATGTGTAGGCTGTGGCATCATGGGGTGTCTAGGAAATAAGGTAAGATTCTAGCAGCTTAAGTAATAATTATTTTATCACTTTCAGCGGAAGTTTTGATATCTTTCACTATTTTTATCACCATCATGTGTAGACTAATACTTTTTTACAGCTATTCTATGTTGAAGGAAATAATTCACGTGGAATTTTTTTTTTTCAATTTTTCATAAAAATAACCTTATTCCCATCTCATCTTCTATAAAATTTTGATTTGCAGGGTTCTGTGTCGGTTAGGTTTCGATTACATGAAACCAGCTTCTGCTTTGTGTGCAGTCATCTAGCTTCAGGGGGTAGAGAAGGGGATGAGAGATATCGAAACTCAAACGCCGCAGAAATTCTGTATCGGACAAGGTTTCCTAGAGGCCCTTCACGTGATTTGCCTCGAAAGATCCTAGATCACAAGTAGGTACAACAAGTTTGTTGAAACCATCCAAAATGATTGGTTATTAATGTCTGTTTAACCAATTGTTTTTTTCAAGAGCTTAAATTAAACCACAAATCAACAATTAATGCTTGTTTATAAATTCGATGTTGTCAGTTTGGCTCCGAGGCCACCAATCGAATAAAAACAACCTCTTGTGATTTTATTAATCTCCTTTTGAGTGTTTTATATTGGCCAAGTTGTGCACTAATAATTAGAATATTGTTGGCCTAGTGAGTTAATTAGGTAGCTAAACCCCTAGATAACGATGAATTTTTTATGAGTAATATTATTTGGACATAAAAACTTGATCTAATTTGTTAACCTAATGATATAATTTTTTTGTAACAATTAGATTAATATCAAGTTCTAATGTTTGATGAAGTTTATAGTTAATCTAATAGTTATAGTTAATTAAGTTGTCAGCAAATTAAATTAACAAATTAAATGTCAATTGTATTGCTCTTTCTTCACTCGGTAAACTGTCAGTCTATTACTATAAAAATTTGTTTCCTTACAAAGTTGAGCACTATCACTTGCGTTGATAGGATGACGAAAAACCTTAGGTCGGTCATTAATTTCTATATTTTAATACTAACATATCTTGGTGATATCCTCTGATTACTATTTGATTCCGTGCAGTCGGGTAATTTTTCTTGGAGACTTGAACTATAGGATCTCCTTACCGGAATTGGAGACACGATTACTAGTAGATAGAAGAGAATGGAATGCTTTGTTAGAAAGTGATCAGGTAGGTGGCCAAGGAAACAAATTCTCAGAATTCTCTTATGTTCTATAAAAAATGGCTGTTATTCTTCTAAACTTGGCATCAAATTCCATGCAAATAAAGCTAAGGACAGAACTCATGGGGGGTCAAGTATTTCAAGGTTGGCATGAAGGAACAATCAAATTTGCTCCTACTTACAAATACCATCCCAATTCTGATGAATATTTTGGTGGAATTGGTGGCAAAAAGCGCGAAAAGAAACGAGCTCCTGCATGGTAATTAACCTATTTTTTTTTCTTTCTCATGGTAATTAACCTATCATTTGGATAGTTCTTCACTGATTTCAGGTGATTGCAAGATTATATTATCATAAAATATTCACAAACTAGTTTTTTCATTCAGGTGCGATCGGATAATTTGGTATGGGGAGGGTGTAAAGCAACATATGTACAGCAGAGGTGAATCAAAGATGTCAGATCACAGACCAGTGAAGGCAATATTCACCACAGAAGTTGGAGTTTCAAGGAAAAGAAAAGGATTCCAAAGCTTCTTCCTATCAGAGAGGTTTGATCATATTACAAGCCCGTTAGAGATCATGTCATCCGAAGATCATTTCCGACATACCCGCCGATCAAGCTTCCAACTTGAAGACATGTGGAGCCCATAATATGGTGTTGATGACCTTCAATAATATTTGACAGAGAAAATAGCATAAGACAATTCTATTGTATTAAATGAGATTATGCTGATGAGTGTACAGTAACGTTGATTATCTTCTCCAAGATCTTTTTAGCAGTAAAAGCTGTCCATATCTCTCTCTCTCTCTCAAATGCTTCTATTGTATAAAATGAGGTTTGTTTGATACAAAATCCATGGTCCAAAATTAATTGTCTACACAAGATGCTTCTAGCTAGACCAGGTTTTGGATATTCTCCATACATATATGTGACCAACCACTTTTATAAATTCAATATCCCAATCATTGGCACACTATATGAAGCAATTTGATTGGAGGATGTGAATCATAGAATAAAAAGAAAAAATGTAGATTATTTGAAGATTAACTAGACTAATGATGTTTTCTTTACACTGCATTGGAGATGAGTAGGTCTGGTCCATAGAAATAACGGGAATTGGCCCAGACCAATTCAATTTGCCGGGGTTGGTGAGCGTCAAATAATTGAAATAAGAGATAAATCATTAAATGACCATTAAACTATAGCATTAGTTTCAATTAAATTTTATGATACCAGAGAATGTCTTCCGATCGTCTGAGTTGTTGACCAAGCAAGTTTGCCTTCCAGCCGACTAAGAGGAACTCCTGAAAAAGCAAGTTGAAGATCGGAGGGGCTCCGATGGTCGAGCTTATGATATTTAAGTCAGAAATGGAATAAGGAAAATAGAATATCAAGTAAAGGTTAGATTGCTTACCTATTTGATCCCCTGCTCTCTTTCTTATAGGTAATTATGTTACCGCTGGAGGATGTTTATCATCTTAATTGAATTGGGGTGAATCCTGGGCTATCAATGTTTGAGTGGAGATGGAATCCTTGTTCAAGTGGAAGTCTTAAGCTAAGTTGAATTGGTCAAAGGAGAACTTGACGAACTATATATAACTCCTTTGAGCTGCCAAGCTCCTATGTCGAGCACATGCTCAAATTCCTATCATAAGTTGTGTGTCATTTTACCTACTTCAATTGCTATCAAATATAATCTCATATTCGGTTCATCTTGATGACATGATAAGTGACACTTGATCATATAAATTCATACATAACAATTTGATCTCCAAAAACCAATAAAATTTACAATTTTAATTTTATAAATATTATATCAATATTCGTTCATCTCATATTCCTCAAATATCAACTTTGGTTCTTTTTTTCTAGATCATCTTGAAAAATATTAAAAGCGAGTTAGTAATGCAATAAAGAAGCCTAACAATTTCTCTCGACATCTGCCTTTTAAGTAATTGATCTCGTATCTAGGTAGGGGGTGTTCACTATTAAGCCTACGCCTGTCCATTCCTTTCAAGTTTGATCCCGCCCTTAGACTTGTGACGTTATTCGACTAAACACGTTAGGTCCGCGCTCTATTCAGTTAGACCCGATTCAAGAACCTTCTCTTATAGATTTCCTTCATCGCTAGCAATCAGTTCTTATCCCTTGGTATCAAAGGTGAGTCCCTTTCTTGTCTTGTCCAAAAAATTTCTTTATTTTCATTGGAAAAAAGACTCTTTTCTAGTTCTCTCCTCTACTTTATTTGACAGGCGTGGAGAATAGCACTCTATCAATAACAAAAAATAAGTTTCAATTCAATTTCAGTTTGAGCTTGGAAGTAACCAACTATCTATCGATAGGTGAGAATAGCCTACTATTGGTTGCTTTGCCTATTTATTCTATTATAGCCAGTTTGGAGACATCAGAGGAAGACCATCATCTCTATCTGGGTAGGATCATTACTTCATTCATTCGTTGAGCCTTGGGAATAACCATTAGTATTGAGGTCAAGCACCCCACCACACAACATCACACGACGCGAGAGTGCATAGTCAACACGCACCTAAAGTGCCTACGTTCTGCTTGCAGCCAATACAACCACAACCTAACTTGCCCGAGATTTAACAATTGAAGCTACTGATAGTCTCGAGGGGATGACATCCTCCTATTATAGTTGGTAGTATTGAACAAGTGAGTCATCGGTCCAAGGAAAGAACAGGGCCGTTTTTGAAAAAAGAAAAAGAAGTAACTCGCTAGGTTCTCAAAATCTTAAATATGTTGTATACAATGGGAAGAGAGTTCGTTCTTGGGAGAATAATAGTTGAGGAGTCATGAGAGTTTATTTTTGGGAGGATAAATAGGTGGGGTAGTCATCTTTTTCATCTTTGTTTTCACGCCTCCATTACTAAATCTTCTTTTCATGGGGCATCCATTGCTTCTATAGTTCTCCCTCATAACCGTCCAAACTCTGGGAATTTTGGGTTTCACAGGAATTTGAATTCACTTGGGATATGATATCACTTCTTTCATAACTCTTTGTTTAATCAAGGTTCGTGTGACAAACGAAGGTGGGCTTTTGAGACTTCGAGTGTCTTTTCTAGTAAATTATTCTTTAATTCTTTGGTGAACTGATCTTCTTGTCCTATCTTTACCCCGACTTTGATGTTGAACACTAAAGTGTCAATTCAAGTGCAAGTTTTTCTATGGACTGTTGAATATGTTAAGACCAACACCGATGATATGCCTCAAAAGATAAGACTCAATTCTTGTCTTTCTCCTCAATGGTGTGGATTTATAAAAGTGCATTGATCGTTCATTTTTACATTGTCGTATCACTTTGTGATTGTGGTATGAGATGTTTAGCTTTTCTTTTTTCGGTACATTGGAAATAAAAATGTTTAGCTTTTCAAAGCACAAGGTAAATGTACTTTGATGACATGGAATGCTAAGTGTCCATTCAAGTGCAAATTTTACAAAGACTGTTGCACAGGATAAAATCAACACTAATTATATGCTTTAAGATAAGGCACCATCCTTGTCTTCACTTCCGTGATATGTGACGCATAAATATGCTTTTGAAAGCATTGTTCATTTATTTTTACATCACCCTACTACTTTGTCCTTGTGGTATAAATTTTCAACTTGAAGGGTATGAGTTGGGTGATTCCTAAGTCGCCCACTTCCTTGTTTGTTGAAGATTTACAAAGTTTTGGGAGGCTTGATAAAGGCATCACTATGTAGAATAGTCCTAACCAGTGTTATCGAAAGTGCGCCTAGTCACCAAGCAAAGTCAAGTGAAGCCGACTTGTCTAAAGTGGTCTAAGGCAAAGCGATTTGTCCGAAGTGAAGCTTAAGCACAAAAAAAGCAAGCATCTAAAAACTAGTCTCCAGTGGACGATGAGAGAACTTTTCTATTTTTTTTGGTTTGAGGGTAAAAGCAAAGGGTTAGAGTCATGGAAACAGTCTTTCTGCATTTGGAGGCAAGACTATGTATATCTAATTGTCCCTAGACCCCACAATAACAAGATCATCATGCACTATGCTACCCCTTTTACTTCAAGGTAATGCTGCTTGAGCCTTTGAAGTTATAGATATTAGCCAATGAACTAGATCAATATCAAACCATAGGGGAATACCAAAGATTAATCATCTACTACACTCCCACTCTGATACGAGGAAGAGGCAATTTCAAATGACACAAAGGAGGAAGATGTAGAAGGATGTAAATTCAATGACAATAAAGACAGTGATTTGAATGGTGATGAGGATGAATTTTAAGTCCTCAGGATTGGTGGAAGCATTGATGTTCAGTTGCTTTGTATATTTTTCATGTCAAGATATGAGATGTAATTGGTGTTTGTTTCAATTTAATGTGTATGGCTTGGATTGCATTTGAATATTTAGTATTTGAGAAGTTGAAACTCTATAATTGAGTAATTAGAATGTTAACTACAAAATATTTGCTTCATTTTTACTACAATATTTGTCTCGCTTCACCTCTTTGCCCAGTCTTTAGGAAGCTTAAGTGCTTCAATTCGCTTTACGCCTTAAATAACATTAGTCTTATCATTACTACATATAGGATTGTATGTAAGGAAAGAATGCAAGAATGTTTGAAGATAGTAATGAGTGGTTGGTAGGATTATGGAACAATATTCATTTTCTAGTTTCATTTGGACTTTGGTTTGTAAGAACTTCAAAGGAATTCCAGTTTCCGCTACTTTGGCAGGATGGTGAGCTTTATGTAATTTATAGGCTTGTTACATGTTTGTAGCTCTTTTTCACTTTTTTATTTTCTATTATTTAATACAAGAGTTATGTTTCCTATCAAAATTTGTTTCCCTTCAATCAAGTACTAAAGATGAAAAAGATGAATGACGAGAAAGCAATTCATAAAGATTTGCGAGAGATGAAGGGAGACTTGACATAAATTTCAACTAGTTTGTACTCTACCGTGGTTTATAGAACTACTATGGAAAAGATATCGAAAAATTATTGGGCACAACTGAGTAACCAAAAAAGTCATGACTGATAATCCTGAACTGCAACAAAAGAATGAAGTACAACCTAATGCAATCACAAGAGAAGCACAATACGAATTTAGCCAAATGCGCTTCAGTGCGCACGTGCGCACGCACGCACGCACGCACGCACACACACACACACACACACACGGGGGAGAGAGAGATATTGGCATCAGCTAGCTTTTGACAGCAATAGATTTGAAAACCAAAAAAATATCATAAAATTATCCAATAAATAAAGAGACAAAAGTTTTTCACAATCCTACGTTCTGGTGGCCAGAAACTATTCATAGCCTTTAAACAGAAATAGAAAGAAAAATTAAACGACGACGACTCTTGAAAGGTAGAAGCACCGTACCATGACTCTGAAAATTCAAGGACTACAAGTACCAAGTAAACCTTGGAAGATGGTAACAGATATATGTACAGGTAAAACAGGACCAGATGTTGGTATCATGTTTTGCCCAGTGAGTGCTCAAGATCAATTGGGTTAGAAAAGTTATAACCTTCGGCTGCAAGTTTCTTCAATACCTTCTTGAATGCACTCTGACTCATCTTCCGTCCAGCTATCCTCGCTCCACGTCTTTTGGTGCTCATTGGCAAGGGATACATTGATCAGGTTGTGGTGCAACAGGCTGATTGCCATCCCCCACAGCCCCATCGATAACACTGCTGAGGAGTTCCAGTGCACGAACAAACTGGTATGGGAAACCTGAAATGTCCATATCAATCCCATTTATTACAACTTCCATATTCTTCTTCGCAGGTTTCACATGCTGAACGGAGGAGTTCCCATTGTCCTTGGACAAAGAAGGGCCTTTCTTTGTCTTCTTCGGTTTAGGGGTTTTCAGAGTGGCAGCACCTGCCCTTTTCTTCCCAGTGTCAGCTTCTTTCCTAACAATTGGATCCTCCACCGCAACCCTAGCATCCTTTGATGTATCGGGCTGCTGTAGCATATGAATGGGACGAGATCCAGAAGGTTCTGCAAAAGATGCATTATAATGGTTCCCTGGTAACATGTGAAGATATTTATCTCTATGGTTTATCCAACTATCTCTCACATAGTCCACGGGTACAAGTGCTTCTGAAACCACACAATCCCTAGGGTGAAATGCTCCATTGGTGCTTACCATAAACAGCATTTTCGCACCCTGCTAATAAAGATTTTGTATTGCGCTCTATCACAGATGACATGAGCTGCAGACCAAGATGCCTTTTAAAAGAACGTTCATAATAACCCCAATTCCGCATATTCAATCCGTCGTCATCCATCAAAACTACAGATCAAGGAAAACAAACATTAAAGGCCTGTTTGTTTGTTGTTTTTATCTCTTGTTTTGTGTTTTTGTTTTCAATTTTTGCCAAAATTGAAAACAAAAATATTTTTGGTAATTGTTTTTATTTTTTGTTTCATTTTAGTTGTCTTGGAAACAAGCCAAAAAAAATGAGAACAAAAAAATTGTGTTCCAGGAAATACCCAAAACACGAAACATGCACAAAGTCCAGCTGAAAGGTTTTAATGAGGTCTCTGATTCGACCCTCGTTACCAACAAAATGTGTTATTTTTTTCTGGAAGTATAAAACTTCTCTCTCCCTCTCTCTCTCTCTCTCTGTATACAAACGAAGACGATGGGTGTCTGGGTGTTCTAGAAGACGAATCCAAGCTCCATTCCATCTTGCTGCCCGCTTGAACGAATCGATCTTGGTTGCTGCCTTCTTCAACGGAATCGTTTGTATTGAGTTGACAGGTTGTTGTGAAGGTATGTATATAAAAACCTATATATGCATATATATACATAGATATGTATATATATGCATAAATATACATAGATCTAGCTCAGATCTGTGTTTTGTATGTGTGTGCGCGCTTATGTGTCTTGATTTGTGGGTATGTGCGTCGATGTGTTGGTATGGGTATGAGATACTCTGTGCGTTAGAGTGTGTGTTGTGTGTCTTGCCCTTATTGTTATGATATGCTTTTGTGCTCTTTTTCTCCGAGCAAAAGAGCCAATATCAAATTCTGGGGGCTATTTACTCTCTTTCTATACTGCTTCTTTTTTTTTTTTTTTAATGAATTAGGGACTCAAAATTTTGGGAATATTTACTGTTTTTAATGTTGTTAACATGGGTAGGTTGCCCAGTTTGTGAGAACACATTATCACAAGGTAGCTGTTGTGTTTATTAGCGTTCGCAAAATAATATAGCTTGGTTGTTATGAAAAATTTGAAATTTTTGAGTCTCTGTATTTTGTCTATGTGTGTTGAGTATGTGACCGAGTGTGTGTTTTGTGCCTATGCCTGATTGTATGCGAGTGTTATGACTTATTAATGTGAGTATTTGGTTGTATGTAGAATAATATGATGTATAAATGTGATTAATGACTTATGAAATCCGGTAATTTTTTTTAGGTGTTCTTTGATGAATTTGTGGATGTGTTGGGTTAGGAATTTTTCGATTTATATTCTGTTGTATGAGATATTAAAAAACATATTTAGGATATAATAAAGCATATTTAGTATATAACTTGAAATCATTACCAAACATGTTTTTTATTTTTATTTTTATTTTCATAATTTGATAAACACAAATGACCGCCAACAAACAGACAAACACGGCAAAGGCTTTAAAATCTGAAATCAAAGCTATTGGTGACCGGATCCAAACAACCAGAGCAGACCCACACCCAGAAAGAGCAGCATCAAACGGATGCTCCAATTCAAACCAGTACATTATTGGCGTTGCAAAATTCTGATGAGTTTTTCTGAAAACCCACAGAGATCATGCAACTATAACCGCCAAAAAAGACAAAATTGCAAGCTAAAAACAAATCAGAAATCTCCAAACTGAGAAATCAAACACAAGGTGGAATGATCCAAATAACCATATGTAGGAAAGTAGACAAATCAATACCCAGAAACCAAAGAATCGAATTAATGCTTCAAATTTTAAAATTCCCAGAAATGTAAATTTCCCCCAAAAGAAAAAGCGCAATTATTCAGGATTCTGCACATAGATCTAATATAAAAATGGAAATCAGATCCAAGGTAACGATTCCAATAAGCTAAATATATTTCAGGATGTAAATAATATGCAACAGAGTATAAGGGTTCATAGATTCAGATTTTAGAGAGAGAAAAAGATAAATCTAGATGAGAGAGAGAGAGAGCTTACTTGTGGGTAAACGGCTCTTTTTAGGGTTTTTTCCCTTCAGAAGAGAGAAAGAGACTCGGAGATGAGAGAGAAACCAGAGAGAGAGATCCGTATACAGCTTGTGCTATAAAAAATATTTCCGCAATTAATAAAAAACAAATTGACCGATATCTATGTTTAATACAATACCAAAATTTTTTATCAAATTTTGTGATGTGCACAATTTTAAATCTTTTTCTTTTTTTTTTTTTTGCTGTTTGCAAAATTTTAATTCAACGATCACGATTGTGGATAGAAAATTTGGTAAGAATACTGCTTGGGTATACATGCTTGCTAGAGAACACCAAACAACACCCCAGCCAATTAAAAAAAAAGACGAATTTGGAGACCCGTCCGTAGACCAATAAGATTTCAAAAAAATAGACTCTACTAATTTTTATTTTAGATTAGGTTATGTTGAAAAGTTAAAGTAATGGATATAACTAACGTCTTTTATAATTGTAAAACATAATAATTATGTCATCACCTAATTTAAACACTTATTTTAAAAAGATATATCATCATAATGTATATTTTTCTCTATAAATATAAATTATAAGGCAAGTACATTAAAAAAAACACGTACACAATTAAATATATATATATACATATACCTTTGAGCCAAAATATAACAATTACGCAATAAAAAATATAAAAAATAACAAGTACGCAATAATCGTCAGACAAGTATATTAAAATACAGATCATTAGATATATATACTAAAATACAGATCGTTAATGTACATTTTTCTCCCTAAACATAGATCAATAATATATTTTTTTCTCTATAAACACAGATCATCAAATAAATATATTAAAATACAAATCGTCAGATGTCAACATAATGTCTAAATTGCTTGGTTGATGAGTTTGAATTTCAAAATTGATAGACAACATTGCAAAAATCTCAATAAAAAATGCAAAAAAAAATAAATTATATTTTAGGCTGTAATCATGTTACGAGGGTAAAATGAGTAATGAAAACTCATAACTAGCCAATTTCTTAACGTTCGTGTCAACACAAGGATCGTATGTAAGTTTTTTCAAAAAGCGGGGAGGACCTTTTTTTATAGTGAAAATTTGGTAGAACTAAAATTAATTTATACACCAAAGGAGGGACCCTAGCCTAATTTACTAAAGAGTAATTATATTGGAACTTAATTTGTTGAGATAATGATATGACTTCATTGTAACTACTAGATTAAAACCAAGTTTCAATACTTGATGAGACTCACAATCAATCTAAAAGTTATAATAAATTAAGTCAACAAATTAAATCAATAAATTAAGTTTCAATAACATTGCTCTTTACTAAAAAAAAATAAAAATTCACCAAACTATTTCAATCACAGGTCATATATCCTCCAGTGTTCACCATTTTTCTTCTATATTTTATTGGATATACTTTATTCACATTTATGTAGTTAGGTATAAATTCAATAACACCTCCTGTTTGAAATTTCACTACACCCTTTTTGTAGATTATACTATTGAATCAATGACAATCCTTGTCTTTAACATGTATCTCTAACATGCTAGAAAATAGAAATCATAACTTAAAATTTGTGTGTTATGCTGAATATGTCCTTTAGTGCATCAGCTTTTAACTTGGACCCATGCTTGAAGTCTCTGATTTGAGACAGAGACTTGTACCTTTGTCGAAGAAAACCTGCTTCTAACTTGCAACGAAATTTTAGTTTATGCCAAGTAAAACCTCTGCCTCATTAATTTTTTTTTGTTTATAATATATTCAGATGTTGTGGAGTTTTTTCTCTTTTTTTTTTCTTAATCCAGTTATGAATTTAGGATGAATTTTTATTATTTGAGCTGATTTAAGCTAATCTTGAATTATTAAAATCGATTAAAATTCGATTTGAGTAGATTACAATTTTTATTTTTTTACTTATTAAATTTCATGTCAGTTAACATTTGATTAGAGTTGATTAAAATTTATATTTTTTTACGTATTAAAATTCAAACCAATTTAAGTTAAACCTGAGCTATTAGCGCCAATTAAAATTTAATTCGAGTTGATTAAAATTTATATTTTTTACTTATTAAAGTTCGTGCCAATTAAAATTTGAGTTAAGTTGATTAAAATTCGTTTTTTACATATTAAAATGTGAGTTGATTAAAATTTATATTTTTTTATGTATCATAATTTAGGCTGATTAAAATTCAATTCGAGTTGATTAAAATTTGATTCGAACAGATTAAAAAAATTTGAATTGGCTAGAATCGAATTTTAATCTGCTTAAATTTTAATATGTTAAAAATGTAGTTTTTAATCAATTCAAATTTTAATACGTAAAAAATAAATCTGAATTAGTTCAGATCAAATTTTAATCGGCCCAAATTTTATTACGTAAAAAAAATTTAGAAAATAAATGGAGTTTCAGTGAATATATGTCTATCTAGAGGGAATGTGAATGAAGTTTTTTCAATATATTATCTGATATACATAAGGGCATTTATGTAAAATAGCCTTCTCCGTAAGCGTAGTTAGCCAACAATATCAGTGAAATTTCAAAAGAAATAGGGGATGTTACTAAATTTCGACCTAATTAAAGGAGATGTGAATGAAATTTACCCTATTTTATTTCTTTCACGATATTTTATGTTTTTGTAGAATTATCTACATCATTGTTGCGTATGTCCGTATAATTTGTTAAAAATCTAAGTTATGTTTTATTTTATGCAAAGAATTTGGTACAATTTACAATTTTATTTTTGTCCCATAGACAATTAGCGACCGATTTGTGTGATGTATGAAATTTACAATCCTCTTTATTTTTATATATTGTTTCATCCCATAACTTTTCTCTTCTTTTTCTCAATTCTTAGAAATTTGATTTAATTAATTAACCGAAATCCAATTTACATTGGCCAACTACACAGTTCTAAGAATTAAGAAAAATAATAAGGAATACTTCTCATACCTTCTCCCAAAGAAAATGATTGTTATGTATATAAATAATAATTAACTAAAATCTAATCAACATTCGCCATCTACAAACTTCAAAACAAACGCCATTAACTACTATTTGTAATCTTATCCCACAATTTTATCCACCAAACTTGATAACATGAAACAATTTTGGAGATGGGGGGCATGAGAAGCTTTCATTACTTATTATTTACTTTATTGCCTAATTTTTATTTATTGATTTTTTTTTTGTCACTTCTCATATAACTATGCATCCACTCCCCTAATTAACTATTACTTATTTTAATTTTTTTTATCCTTTACTCCACTAATTACCTATCACTTATTTGATTTTTTTTTTTAAAAAAAACTGTGTCACCTTATAATGTACCATATTTTTGTTACCCAATGTCTCAAATAATGGGGAAAAAATTAGAAAGATTTGAAAATTTATAATTTCTGCATATCGCACGGAGTCGACTCTAGTAGATTTATAAATTGGGTAATAAAATTTATAAATTCTGTGCAATTGAAAATCTTACATGTTTTTCTAATTAAAAAGCCTGAAAAATAATTGAGTCAATTCGATAATAAGAAGAAGGTAACACTCCATTATTCAAAATAAAAGACAAAATCCTTGAGTCTGAATGACACTGATGTCAAATTTGTGGAGACACTTGAGACGTCACAAAAGCAGACATCATGGAGCCAATGTGAACGACAAAATTAATAATCAATAGGATAGAGAAGAACTGAACAATTGCATTAGAGAAACACCTTCTTTGTCCGGAGGTCCTTGACAGAAAAATCAGAGGGATCAAAATCAATACTTGATAATGCCGGGGTTTTTGGATATGGGTCGCTACAATCAAGAGCCCGACAGGTTCAGAAAGCTTCTACTTGCACAGTAGCCCAAATAGTTCACCCCCAGTCTGTCCATGCCAAGATTAGAATGGACCGTGCCCAAAGGATGAAGTCCAACAGTACTTGAAAGCTTGAGGACCACTCCAGCCTCAATCCAGCTCAGCTGGAAGTCAACTCGGGATAAAGAAGCTCGACCCATGGTCAATCATGAGGTGGTCCCGCCGCACCACGTGTCCTGAAAGCAGAGCGGCCACTTTTGACACCTATAACGAACACGCACTTTCTGTCACAAAGAATATTGATGTGCATAACCATTCAAGAACTGTGAATGTAGTGACATCATATGACAAAGGTCACTATAGGACAAAAATAGGGGGCCCATGAAATCAACAAACAAGAAGAAAGAGCCGCAGGAAACCCTAGAAGGATTATATGTATAAATACGACACTATTACACCACAAAAAATACGATCATCGTCTTACTCACTGCACTCTTAAGTCATCTACACAGACAAGTTTACATTATCTAAGCATTTTCTTGTAAAGGCCTTGAGCCAACAATATCATTGTAATAACCTATTTCAAGCAATATACAATCCTTATGAGCAAGAGACTCCCTTATAGTAGACGTAGTCTTAGTCCTTCGGCTAAGGTGAACCACTTACACCGCATTTTGGTTCTCCTTTCACAACCCCATCCGTTTCTGGTTCATATACTTGTTCTACATCTTCTCTTGGTCAACTGACCACGGTTTTGGACTTGGGCAAATTTATCCGAACACCATCAGTTTGGCGTTGTCTGTGGGAAACGGTTTTCATCGTTTCCTCAAAGTTTTCTTTGTACATCTCTGATAGTTCGATGGTTTCTACTTAGAATATGAGTAAATCTCATGCCCACCCCTAGATTCATCAGAACCTACCAGACGATTTCCCTGCTCCTGCGGTAGAGTCGAAAATCATCCTCCGGCAGTAAACCCACCTCCACTCAATGAGTTGGAATCCTACCACTAGATCACCATGCAGCTTATAAAGCAAAATCATGACTTGATAACATGGATTTAGTCTCGTCACCACCTGCAGATCCCACCAATGCATCACGAGCCTCCTCCACCTCCTCTACTAGTACAGCACGACATTCCTCCTCAGGATCGCCAGGTGCCACCCAATGGAGTCACAGAACCCCATGAG